AGACAATATGATATCGTCATTACGCATACACATTCACATGCGCACGCGTGCTATGCTAAAATTTGAATATACTTGGTATACTTCTGGAAAAACGTTGTTAAAGTCTTAAATTCATATAGTTTGCCTTATTTAATGAAGCTTACAGGGAATGTGGCACAAAAAGGGAGTTGGGGAGCGTTTGGGGAACATCTGTAACGGTTCCCGTTACAATTAGCACTAGTTACCTATTGCCATTGTGCACCTCCTATTTTACTTTGTGATCCGATGCATAGTTTGGGTTTCCCACAGAAAAAACTGGACACTGCCATTTTATACATATGGGAGGCAAGGGGGGGTGTTATCATTTAGTGAGCTCATTGCTATTGCTCACAGTACCTCCAGTTATACCCCCGCTTGAAAAGGTATATAGTAATCGGTATGTCTGTCCGTCCGTCTGTCTGTTACGCATTTGGGTACCCATCTCTTATCCACAACTCCTCTCATACTACTGAATGAAATTTGATGAAACATTCACAGAATCGTTAAAAATCTTACAAAATAAATCCGATCAAGAGCAACAAGGCCACATGTGCAGCTTCCTAATTAAGTAATGGACTCTTTATTAGAATTCACTTTAATCAATTCAACATTTCTCAAAATCTACATCTTCTTGGAATTGGGGTAACAAAAGAGGAGGATCGGGACATCTCTAAAATATTGTTTACTTTCCCTCTTACTCAAGGTAAAAATTTTTAGGTCGGCAGGAAAAAAGTTTACCCGCCGACCTAAAAAATTTTACAACGCCCCAAGCCTGCATTTTCCATAAAATTCCAATAGACCTGTTGAAGGGATGCGAGGAATAAAAAAAAATATATCGTGTCCTAAAATGTAATTTTTTTTAGCCGGTCGAGAAATTTTAAAGATGGTCTGGCGTAAAATAAACTAGAGGTACTGTGAGCAATGAGCTCACTAAATGATACCCCCGCCTCCCATATGAATATAATGACAGTGTGCATGTTTTGCTCTGGAAAATCCAAAATATATGTCAGATCAAAAAGTAAAATAGGAGGTCACAATGGCAATATGTAATGAAGATTCTGTGAAAGTTTCATTAAAGGAGATGGGTGAACATGACGAGAGATAAGCCCATAGCGCGACAAACATGAAGGTGAAAGATTAAATCTCAATTTTATCAAAATTTTCCTTAATATACTGAAAGGAAAAAGAAACGCAGGGTAAACTTTTGAGGTGAATTAAATTTGTTTTTCTTAAAATACTTTTTAGTTTTCCTATCTAACTTTTAAAATCATCTTTCAAAAAGATATAACCAAATTCTCATATGATTTTGTGTAATTATTCATGAGTTATTGAAGCTCAAATGACGATACCCCCCAAAAGGGAAAATCGAAAACTCTCATTATCTTCAATGTCCATCTCGTGCATCTGTCAGAGTCTTATTTCTCCTTTGCATGGAATTTCATCAGAGTGTTCATCTTTCAAACCCTGGCTATATTTAGAATGGGTAACCACGCAAAAAATAAGTCCAACGGCGCGCGCATGCGCCAGTGAGAGGAATACAACAGTAAGTTGACTGGCTCAAAAAACCAAATTGCGGAATTGTTTTCTTTCAAATTTCGTATGAATGTAATGATTATAATCGTGTACACTATAAATGGCTGTTTTTGTGGTAGTAAGGTGGCGATTTAAGAGATGGCAGGACGAATAACCCGCTCGTAACATGGCTCTGTTTCGCGTTAACGTCATCGTCACGGTTGATTTAAATCCACTCTAGACCCTCTCTGACAACGGCTAAAAAGTTTTATGGGGGAAAATTTACAAGAGACTGCTTAGTAAAGCGTTGTTGCCTTTTTCATTAATTAAGCAATTCGAAAACAAGACCCCATGCATTGAACTTCCGTAAACAGTGCCAAGATTGCAATAAATTCATAATGTCTCTTAATATTGAAAAACGATGTGCATACCTCATATGCATCAAATAATGCAACAAGATTTGTGGACAAACACGTCGTTATCAAATTGCACTTGTTTTGGGCTTTTTAGCGTTTTCCCTACGTGACGTCATAAATTTTACGGCTGAGTAATTCTGAATACTGATTTTGATGCACAGTAAACTAGAGGTACTGTGAGCAATGAGCTCACTAAATGATACCCCCCGCCTCCCATATGAATATATTGGCAGTATCCATCTTTTGCTCTGGAAAATCCAAAATATATGTCAGATCAAAAAGTAAAATAGGAGGTGCACAATGGCAATATGTAATAAAGATTCTGTGAAAGTTTCATTAAATTTCCTTCAGTGGTATGAGAGGAGTTGCGGATAAGAGATGGGTACCCCAAAGCGTAACAGACGGACGGACGGACAGACGGAAGGACGGACGGACAGACGGACGTACAGACGGACGGAAATACCGATTACTATATACCCTCCCGCTTTTCAAGCGGGGGGTATAATAAATTTCCCATCTGACCAATTTTCGTAATTTTCGGTCATGTGATCAAATTTTTATCGACAATTATGCTACCATGCGTTTCTTTTTCCTTTCAGTATATTTCATCTAACATTAAAGTATACTTTACGTAAAATCTCTACAACTTGCACAAATCTCATGAAAATTGAAGTTATTATCCTATGAAATATTATACACACACGAAAAAAGACAAAACGAGCCATTTTTTCACACTATAACACTATTTTTCGTTATGAGTGGATCTTTCCATTTTTTTGAAAGGTAGTCCTCAAAGTTTGCATAAAGACATACATATTTTGGTTTCCAAAATTATGGAGCAATGACCCACTATACCTTAAAAATATAAGTTTATGACATAACTTTCGTATCTTTTCGAGAAATACTTGAAGTCCCTTAAATCAATGGTCATATCACAAACATGATTAAATGCCACACTTGATCAGGACTTGTGTAGCGTAGTGGTTAGCGTACTAGTCTCAAAAGAGAATGCAATTCAGGATTTTTATTGCCAGGGTTCGAACCCAATGGACCCCACATTAATTTTTTTTATATAAAAGAAGAAATGTTAACGAAAAATTTTCCTCAAAACTTTTTGTTTCTCATGATTTCATAAAAATCAATGATGAGAACTTTACTCTAAATACTAAATTCACAATTTCAATATGATTTTTATATATCTGAAGCTAGTGGGTTTTTTGCACGCTAAGTTCACCCATCTCCTTTCCTTCAGTGGTATGAGAGGAGTTGCGGATAAGAGATGGGTACCCCAGAGCGTTACAGACGGACGGACGGACGGAAATACCGATTACTATATACCCTCCCACTTTTCAAGCGGGGGGTATAAAAATAATAGATAAAATGAAGATAGGTATTACCAGAGGTACTGTGAGCAATGAGCTCACTAAATGATACCCCCGCCTCCCATATGAATATAATGACAGTGTCAATGTTTTGCTCTGGAAAACTCAAAATATGTGTGGGATCAAAAAGTAAAATAGGAGGTGCACAATGGCAACATGTAATAAAGATTCTGTGAAACTTTCATATAACTAAGGACGAAAAAACAAAACAACACATTGAATTGAACATGGCTTTTTTTATAACCCCCGCTTGAAAAGTGGGAGGGTATATAGTAATCGGTATTTCCGTCCGTCCGTCTGTACGTCCGTCCGTCCGTCTGTTACGCTTTGGGGTACCCATCTCTTATTCGCAACTCCTCTCATACCACTGAAGGAAATTTAATGAAACTTTCACAGAATCTTCATTACATATTGCCATTGTGCACCTCCTATTTTACTTTTTGATCTGACATATATTTTGGATTTTCCAGAGCAAAACATGGACACTGCCATTATATTCATATGGGAGGCGGGGGGTATCATTTAGTGAGCTCATTGCTCACAGTACCTCTAGTTTCCCTCTATATTTTTCTGTAACCACTTGTGTCGTAGATTGAAGTTTAATAGATAATGACAAAAATTACAAAAAGATTGATTTGTTTAATCCATCTTCATTTTGTGTTCAAATAACTAAAACTTTTTTAGTAATAAATGTAGAATATATTCGGGTTATTTTAGCAAATCTCCCGATCCTTTTAAGACATTTGACTATATGTCTACATATTAAAGCAGCGTTGGCCATTATTGTAGATCTGTGACAAGCAAAGGAAAAAGAAGTGAATGTTGTCCGATATATGCTTGTATTTACTACAAACATGGCAGGTTTGGGATTATGTTTTCTATTTTTTTACTCTCTCGATCCATAGGCGCTCCCCATGTAATTCTGTAAATGACGTATAAGTATATATATAGGTCTACCCCTCTATACTATATTTTATAGTATAGAGGGGTAGACATATATATATATACTTATCATACGTCATTTACAGAATTACATGGGGAGCGCCTATGGATCGATCTGGCATTTAAAAAAAATCAGGTGCGCAAAAAGAGGAACTACACTGTATATGAATGCATAGATAGATTTTCAAAGAATTAATGCACTATATGTAATCATCAGAGCCCCGCCCTAACCCAGGAACCCCTGATCTAGTGGCCAAGAAATTAACATTTTGTTTGTTTACAAATATTTTTAAAGATTGCATAAATTTTGATGGTTTTAGCCCCATTTCTCAAGCCCAAAGCAGGCAGGGATCATGATTTTCATAATGTTCACTTTTATTCAATCATAGATGCTACATGTATATATGCCAAAATTGGCTGAAATTGGTTCAGTGCTTCCAGAGAAGATGTTGAAAATGTCCAAATGGACAACACATGATGACTGACAAAAAACATATATAGAATGGGTCACCTGAGTACACTAAGGTGGTTTTTTAATATACCGGCAATGGAAACTTAAATTTGTAAACATAACAGCAGGCTTAAAATATTTAAGAAGAGATTCTTCTCATATTTATTCTATTTAAAAATTAATGAAATTTTCACCAATTCAAGATGACAAGATTATCAGTGTTAATATCAATAGATTAATATCTATTGAATTCCTCTAAAATAAACCAAAATCTTGTGATAAAATTTATTAATACTTTATTTGATACTCGACATTCAAAATGATTAAAGAAATAAATATTTATTTATTCATTTTACTTTCATATTGTAAAAGTATATGTAATACTGTATACAGGGAAATTTTCATCCCCGTTTTATTTTCGCCCCTTTCGCCCTCTTCCTGATTGGGCGAATTTAAAATGGTGCGAATTCAAATTTCACAGCATAATTTCATTAACAAATCTATAACTGGGCGAATTTAAAATGGGGCAAAATTATTCGCAAGTGCAAAAGGGCGAAAATAACATGGGGCGAAAATAACCCTGTATACAGTATTTTCCATTTACACTGCATACACTTGTGTGTCACAAATTCTTCATGGGAATTTGTCCCAGCTTAATTAAAGTACATTGAAAACATTTGAGGTTACCTTTAGAATGAACAGAAATTGTGAATCCATAGAATTATGACTCCCTGGAATATGTGGAAAAGTATTTTCATGTATAAAAAGTATTTAGATAAAAAAATATGATCACATTCTGTCAGAAAATTCCATAAACATCACACATTCATTATTTACAATGAAGCCCATTGAAGTGGTAAAATTTTCCATTTGGATGAAACGTTCTGAGTCATGTTTTGAACGTCAATTATAACATAACGACACGCCCATTTCTTTAGAAACGAGAAAGAAATATTCGTCGTAATGTTTTAGTACACTTTCCGCGACAAGCAACATGATTTACACTAAAATGAAGATTTTTAAATAAGAAAGAGCTATATATAGAGTCCCCGCTTCTGTAAAACACGCATTGAAACGAATTTGTACATAATTATGATTTTATCATGTTTATTGGAGTTAGCATAACACAAGTATCAGTCGAACACGTGCTTACTCGGTGTTTATGTAGACAGTCAATTTGATTGGCTATTATATTTATGGAATACCTGTTCTACAGGTATTCGATTGAATCATTTGACCGATTTTTCCTTTCTAAAGAAATGGGCATGTCTTAAAGATAGCTCAAAACGTTCCATCCAAACGGAAAATTTTACCACTTCAATGCGCTTCATTGTATGTCATTTTATAATGCAGTGGGAACATGATGTAAATGTACATACATACTGATCAAAAAAGAACAAATGCTAAAAAATTTTGACATGACAACTATCTATAAGAACAAGATAATCTTCTTGTGCTGCTATCTTCTATCAGGTTTAATTTCCTTACATATCTAAAGCATTCACTCTTTTACACATAACCTAGCTTCATTACACCATTACATCACAAGGAATATAACATTTTTTCCAGCTTTTTCATATTCACTTGTGTCACATTGTATACATTCAATACACAATTATACATACATCATAAAAATGTCGCTTCACACCTGGAAGTCCCCATACCCAGCTGTTAACAAGCTGCCACAGATTCACCTACATGTTCTATTTTAATCCCTACAATCTTGTATAACTAGTCCTGGATATATCATGACATCTTTTCCCGTTTCCATGGTTTCTCGACCATTGTAGTAACTAACTGATTCTGGAAAATGAAGATCTTGATTCTGTCAAATACATACAGGAAAATAAGGAGTACAGATACATACTGTACCCAGCCCCACTTGATCATGTACCAGAATCCTGGATAATATCTGTCAGGGGTCAAGGTCAAGTAACTATGAATAGTTATTCAATTTATTCATTAGTTAAGAAGTACATATATTTATGAACATGCCAACTAATTTATTTATTTATTTTGATGTACCAAGAATCATGTGCTTCAAGTATGTAAATGTAGATGTGATCTTGTATTCATTATTGATATTCTGTTGTGTATGTAACACCAGTAATACTGATGTACAATTTGAGAAAGGATACAATATCATTTGTTCTGTATAAGTTATGTTGCTGTTGATAACAAATGGCTGCCCTGCTCCTCGGCCACTCTTCCATACTGAGTATGGGGCATTTAGTTGTGTCGTCACTGTAAAGGTAGAAATCAGAATCATATTTGGAACTTGTTATAAAGTTTGTGCCAGATTTAAGTAATTATAAAATGGACCATCAACGAAGTACATGTATTTGAACATTTCTTACCATTTCTCTCTGTATACTTTTTAAAGATATCTGTCAAATCATATGTTTCAGCATAAACACTAGTTGTATCTATTATCGAACCCTGGAAAAAATTGAATATTTTTTGGATACCAGGGTATGATGTTATAAATTATATTTTATTAAGGACTTAAGATTTTTTTAAAAATCCATATTTCTCCAGTACAAGACTCATAAGCAACATTTTTTTTCTGAGCAAAAGATTATGATATAAAGTCTCCTTGATAAGGAAGATTCATTTCTGCTCATTCTTTTTTTCTCTCCCTATTTTGAAAAGGTGTTTTTCTTCAATGAATAAAAATTGCATTCCTCTTTACCAGTAATGCTTCATTTTTTAAAAATTACTTTGTTTTGAATTTACTGAGTAAAGAAGATAAAAATAAAAAAAAAAAATCCAACTTGACACTTGACAGGCGTTTGCTGTTGTTTTTTTTTTCTTTTTTAATATTATTCATGTAAACAAGGTGTACTGATATTAATTTTCTTTTTTTCAGATAATTTTTTTTTCTAAAAACATTAATTATAGTTTTACAAAAGAAACGATAATGACTATTTACACTAAATCTTGTGTCTGATCCCCTGTGTCCTAGTGGCTGTTTCTGCCTTATATTGAGTTCCCCATAAACATCAAGCCGGGCTCCTGCTTTGGGTGAGTCATGGTTAATATAGGCTAAGGACTCCATAGTAAATGAGGAAAATCTCTGGTAAACAATTAAAAAAAATGAGTGTGAGTCAGTCAAAAGTAATTATTATGAATGAGATCGTAATATAACAGTAAATTTGAAATAGACTTTCAAGTTCCAACTAAAAAAAATGTACTTACATGCAAAGCATACTCAAAGAAGAGGAGAAGTTTTACACCAATCACTTTCTCTGAGTCTTGAAGTAGCATTTCCAACTTGAATTCCAGTCCATCTGCTTTCCCATCACCGTTCTCATCTGGCTCTCTTGACTAAATGAAAGTATCTTATTATATAAAATGTAAACCATATGGCCTTTAGGACCCTTAGGCTTAAAAAAAAATATGTTTGTTTCCTGTAACATTTCCCAAAAATTAATGGTCGGTAGGTCGGGAATTTTTTTTTTTTTTTTTTTTGCTTTTGAATGGTCAAACATCCCCGGACTGAATATACCAGGTGTCATATTTACAGTGGACACCCAACATGGCATCCAAAATGGCTGCCTAGCGGCAGAAATCGAACTTCAGAGGGGAAATTGTTGTTACAATTATGATTACTCTTCATAACTAAGGTAAATGTAAACTAGGTTGACATATTTTTATGTCTCAAGTTAAGCTACAAGTGAATTTTTTTTTTAATAAATGAAATCAGCTGATTGATCAAACGAAGTTTTGCCATTTGACGAGATTTGTCAGAAAAAAAATCCACCCGGGGGTAAATTGAATGGGTCGGTCGGGTTACAGGAAACAAACATATTTTTTTTTTTAGGCCTTAATAAATGAATTTATGCAATGTAATTTATTGAACGCATTTTGCCAATTTGCCTAAATAAATCGAATTTAATGTGTCTGGCATAATATAATTTAACAATAAAATATCTGTAAATCCTATTGAATCATTGGTTTTGAATCTAAACATATACCAATTCTAAGTACAGACTCTGGCTGTGACATTATATTACCTGGATGAGAGGCACTCTTAAATTCTGTTGCTGCAGTTGGTTGTATCTTTGGTATGTACTGTATGTGATAAAGCTACCCTCTTGTTCCAGTTCCAAAATCACAAGCAGTTGTTTCTTAAAATTAACAGTAGGGACCTCCCTGTAATATTCCTCCTTCTTCCAAAATCCTTTTCAAAAGAAATAGACAATGTATATTGTACTATAAAAATCAATTGAATGGATTCTCATTTTTGTTAATAATCTTATTTGCATATACATGTATCATCAATGTAATAGGGTGATATTTTCTATATAATTATGATTAATAAATGATCTTATAGGAATATTGTGTTTCTTGATTTTATGATTATTTCACTTGATCATCATCTACATCATTTACAACATCATCATCATTTTGTATATATATGAGTTGAAACACAATTGGATACATATTCCTGTATTGCCCTATTCTCCCTTGGTTCTTTTATTGTGCTATACATTGATCATTAGTTGACTTATTCAATTAATGCCTATGGCTATTTTACCTATGTGGTCATTTTCAGACATGTGATTCATGTCATGTGGTTTTAGGAACCAATAGATTTACAGTATGTAGTTTCCCGCTTTTGGTGAACTGCCTTTGTTTATAACAAAGTTAGACTCCTTAGAGGAATGTTCTATATACCTATTTATCAAAGAGACTGTATCTATATGAAATCTGCCATATTTAGTAATCTTGAATGACCAGATATACTGACTACTGACAGATAGTAAGTGCACTCTATATTTTATTATCTTAATTAATTTCTTATTTAATATTTCTGTAAATTATCTAATTTATGCATTTTCTATCATTCATGAGTAAATTCAGTTGATTTGATTGTAAAGTATCTTTCTCTTACTTTTATCATTTGATCTTGGTAATTTATAAATATCAGTTATCAATTTCATTGATGTGACCTGATTATTTATTTTGAAGTTATATAGTTGAATTATTATTTACAGTTGATATGTAATACATACACCAGACATATTCAGAGAACTATGTTGAGTTAGCCTTGTTCCATAAACAGGTGATTAATTGATATAATCATATGTTTTTATCATAGATAAATGTAACATGAAATAGTTGCATTGGAATGTATATATTTACTCAGTAATATTGTACATGGACATTATCAGAATTAATGTTTCTATATTTTATGCAGTCAAGGGGAATAACTTGTAAATGATTTGAACTTTATAATTATAGTGCAAGAGTTATCTTTCTTGTAATGAGCATATATTCCCTTGCAAGTTGATTATTGACTTTTATACTTACTATTGTTTATTCCTATTACAGGGCTATACTTTCATTGTTATTCTACATACTACTTCACCTATATATATAATATATATATCATCGATCCATCCATATCAACACTTGAATGATGTAATAAATGATGAACCCACAAGTGGCGACTTATTCTTAATAATGAGTTAAGGACCACTATTACATCAATACTAATTAATTTATTTTTCATTTCTCATTTCATATCACTGCTTCACGATCACAACACAATGTCACAATGTTAAATTACGATATTAAAGAGAAAGAGAATTTATAGTAGATGAAATATTTTTTTCTTAAAATTTGTAGTTTTCAGACTCTGTTATTGTAATGCAACATACAACTGATCTTGTGAAAATAGGCCCTACTAATAGATGTTTTAAATGTCATGTGTGGGGCAGATATAAATAAAAATTAAAAGATATCTGTGCTCTCTTTAGAAGTCATATTTGCAACATATTAGAACAATGTATTTAGGAATGGCTGGATTTTTTTTAATGAAAGTGACTAAAAACTTCTTGATGACTATTCTTCCTGATGTAAGGTCATTTAGAAGTTCATTTTGACTGTAAAATGATATATATGCACAGAAATAATTAAAAATTGCATTCAGATATGTGAAAGTATTTTAATTATTCAGCTGCAGTTCAATGGCTAGTACTAGTGTTTATGTTGTACAATATATCATATTATCTGATGAACATCATGTTCATGCATGTCTTTCTTCAATACAAAACATGTTGTTCAAAGTCGAAATTTTTTGCTACATTCTTACCATAACTCCTGTAAACAACAAAAAGCGGTGGTATGAACACAAGAAATAAAACAACAAACGTCAACAGCGTAGCTTTGGTGCATATATGAGTTTTGTATCGACGAAGTTCAGGATGTGCAAACACTTCGTAAACCGCCATTTTTAAACAAAACAGTTTCGCAGAAAATTTTAATTTAGCTCGTCCAAAAAACTATTCGGGATTGTATTCACATTTTAATTTACAGAATTCTAGAGGCTGATATTAGGCGCTTAAACTAAAATCATTTGCTTCTGAAGAAGTTTAATTTTTAAAAGGGATTTCGAAACCTGGGGATGTGTTGTTATAGACACGACTAGTCGTATGACCTACAAAAAGAAGAGCGCTCACGGAAATGACGTAATATTTATAAACAAGCGGGATATTTTAAAGACTTGCAAAATAGTAGTTTACTTTAAAGGTAAAATCTCCATGAATCTGCTTTTTGACGAAATTTCTTTGTTAAATAACTATAGAAGGAATTCTTGTTATATTTGTGATTCATTAAAATGTTCTCTTAATGCAAAATTTAAACGTATATTGCAATATCTTGCTTCTGTATCTGTATTGTTACATCACAGTAACCCCGTTGGGCTTTGATGTGACGGATAGAGGGCGCTTTAGTCGCGAGGATGTTCTATCGCCGACTTAAAGCTAGCTTTGGGGCGCGGACCGCTTTCTCTTCCAGGTGGTTCCAGTCTACAGCTGTGCGTACAAAGAATGAATTCTTCAGTTGGTCTGTCTTTGTATTAAGTATCTCAACTGCACGGCTGTTATTCCTGATCCTATTACATATAATATTTGTCGCTTGATAGTCCTCGTACACTTTCGGTCTGATGTTTCTTTTCGGCTTTTGGAATTTTATATATTGGTCTGATTTAATAGCTGGTATCTGCCCCTCAACCACTTTGTAAAAGAAGATTAGACGTTGTTGTTGGCGTCTGGTTTGTAATAAGGGAAGGTCAAGATCTTTAAGCATCTTTGTCATTGTACCCTCTTCCCTTGATTTATAGTCTTTGGTTATGAATCTTGCGCCTCTTCTTTGAATGGATTCTAATTTTGTTGATTCTTGTTTGGTGTATGGATCCCAGATGACAGCTCCATACTCCATTATGGATCTTACTAGTGCTATATATGCAATCTTTCTACATTCCCTTGGACAGTGTTGTAAGTTCCTTCTTAGGAAGCCTAGGGTGGAGTTGGCTTTATTTGTGATGTTGTTTATATGTTCTTTCCATTTCAGGTTTTCTTGTATTTGTAGTCCTAAGTAGGGATTTGATGCCACTTGTTCTAAGGTGTGGTTCTCAAGGGTGTATTGGCTGTTTATTTTTCTACGTATGCTTAGTATATAGCATTTTTTTGCGTTAAATCTCATACCCCAGTCAGATGCCCACTATTCCAGTTTTTGGAGGTCCTTTTGTAGTAGGTTTTGATCTTTGGGTGATTTAATTTCCCTGTACAAAAGGCAGTCGTCGGCAAAAAGCCTAACTGAAGATTTTACTGCGTCAGGGAGATCATTTATATGGCAGAGAAAAAGTATGGGTCCAAGTACTGTTCCCTGTGGTACCCCGGATTCCACGCTAGTGTCGTCTGAGTATTCCCCATCTAACTGGACTCTCATTGTCCTTTTTGTTAGGAAGTTTGTTAACCAGTCATGGATTTCTCCTCTTATCCCGTATTGATTGAGTGCTTGATGTGTGTTTTGTCTGCTCAACTTTATTATTTATAATTATTTTTTTGTCTGTGATTATTTTGCTGTGATAGTCGATTAAAGAGCTCTACAAAGCAGAACTAGCACAATCTCTTGATTTAGTTGTATACACTCTTGATTTAGAGCTTCTAAAACACACTCACACCGACTCAGTCATTCAATCCTCTCTGTGACATCAGGTGTTTGACTATACTATGACTACTTTGAGGTGACTAGCTACAATAGGTTTCCAAATTGCTCTGTCTACAGCTGCATTATATACTCAAACAATATGCAAGTTTTAAGATTATCTCCCTTGGTGCACTCTTAAGTTGAGGAGGGGAGTTATGTTCGTGCATAAATAAACAGGTGGGACAGATATTTATATATTGGATACATAATCACATTGCATCATTGATATACTGGTTTATCATAAGTGCATGATTGTCAGGATGCACTTTTCAACTTAACAATAACCAAATTAATGTGTAGGCATCATTAAACTCAGTGGAGATTCTGTTTGGCTAGATATTTGGTCAGACGCCCACAGGGTGTTTGACCAAATATCTAACCAACAGAATCTCTGCCCACAGGGTGTTTGACCAAATATCTAACCAACAGAATCTCCACAGAGATTAAGGTATCATTTTTAAAACAAAAAAAAATTGGAACAAAAAAGAAAATATCTGTCTATGTAAGACTTTTTAGATGCTGGAAGAGATGGATCTTTAATAATCTGATAAATGCGGTACATATGCATATGATCATTGCACGTCTGCAATGCTCCAGGGTTTATATGGAGGTACAGTTAACGAAAAAATTTGGAATAAATACGGACCTGATATAGATTATAAATCATAAGGTAAGAACATGTAGTCATAAGTGTTACAGGATTTTTGTATTTGGAAACCATTGCTCAAGATCAATGTATGACAGTATTACTTGCCTTCTCTGAACATCTTAACTCTGAATATCTAAAATATTTCCTCTAGAAAAAAATGGAGGAAATTACCCCAAGGACTGTTATCCAAGGATTCATGGATGCTGCACAAACAAATGAGACAGAGCGTCCCAGTAGGAAGCGCAAACGTTTGACAAGAACACCAGAGGCTGATAGCAGGCTTAGTCGATCCTTACCTTCCACAGAAATCCGACTACACCAGCAGGATGAAGACATCACACAGTAATTATTCCTTTGTGGTGTTATGTTTTATCAATATGTTGCTTAAAGTAACAATATAATTTGTAATATTAATTTAACTGAACATTAAAACCCCATTTTATTGAAATTCTATGAATTACATTTACTTATTTTCAAAAACTAATCCTGGATTGAATATACAGTTGTACTTCATTACAGTGAGATGATTGAAAGCACACCAGTAAAAACAAGGTCTGTGTGGAAGAAAAGAGAGTCTATGGTAGATTCTGTTAGACGAAAGAGATTCCATTTTCAGCACTCAGGTACAAGAAAAAAGAGAGAAAAATTTAAAGAATGCTTTGTATACAATGTATAATCTTTGATAATGATACAGATGCCTCAATATGGTTTATTCCCACTTAGCCAACATTTTGAAAAAACCTATTCCCACATAGCCAACATTTTGATTTTTACACCTGAGTGACCAACAGGCTATAGTCTGTTTTCAGGTATAGGTATATATAGATTACCTGAGAATTACTACCATTGAAAAGTGTAAAATTACATAAATCGATATTAAAATTTTAATCAATATAATTTTAAAATCAGAGTAATAAAATTAAAGTTCAAGATTTTTTTTTTATAAATACATTGTACTAGTATGGTAAAATCTGCATTTTTAAAAAAAATTAAATATTAATTAATAAAAATTATAAAATTAATTTTATAAGAAATATATTTAATGATGAAACAAAAAAGAAAATTGAGAGAATTTTAAATACTCTAATGAAATTAACATTTGAGATTAAAAATATTTATCTGAGTATGTATTATTTGATCATGGTAATTTATGTACACAGAAATCAAAGCTGATTCAATGTGATTTATTATCTGATGAAAACACCATGCAGCTTAAATATTAATTTCATATTTTATGTTCACAACCCTGCTAATTTAATTATATATTGAGTTCCATAATGTCCTCAAAACCAAACTTCTTTTGAATTAATTCCTGTCATTTTGTTTTATTTGTATAGTCTTACATGTACTCTACTATGGAAAATGCCCAAAATTTATTTAATTTCAATTAAAAATGTCTATGTTTGCATATTTTAAAAAAGGCATGTTGCAGCATATTTTGTCTTTTTCATTTAAAAGAAGGAAAGACTATAAACAATCTAAATTTATATAATCAATAAATTATGCATTTTTTATTTTATAAGAATTATACCTAAATCTACATGTTTATATGACTTATCTGAGCTAAAATATGAAAAGGGATCAGATTAAGTGTAAATACATAGTAAAATTAACGTGATTTATGTTCAAATTTAAATTCTCATCAATATTGAACTTGTAAATCCTGGCGTTTCTAGAGTTTAATTGACTTAATTTTTTTCTGTTCTCAAAATGTAAAGTCAAAAAATAAATGGGGTATTGTTAAAAATTCTTAATATCTTAACTTTGGAATGTGCATACATGTAATTATGTAATTTACAAAAAAGCCCCCATCTTTACATAAAATAATTAGAAAGTTTTTTTTTTATTTTGATTATCAGATGTAACTAAAAGACTAAAATTGATAAATATTTTATTCACCTTAAAACAGACTATAGCCTATCTGTAATTAATTTCTTTTGTTCTTCACCTACGCCCCATTCCCACTTAGCCAACATAGATTTACCTGTGTTTTACCTGTATTTTTTCAAAATGTTGGCTAAGTGGGAAGACACCCTCAATATATGGAAAAACATTATGAATACTTTAAAATTATTTTTAGTTACAGAATTATCTAAATCCTATACAAACTCTCCATCAAGCAATCAGAGCAAGGTCACACAGGATACCAGCCTGGGGTCAGGGATACCAAGAAGAAAATCACCAAGAATAGCAACTCAGATGGAAACCACATCAATAAATCAGGAGCTGTCTACCAATGACTCTCGAATATCTACCAAAATGAAAACTAAGAGGGAAAGAAGTCGGTTTCATTTTTCAGTTCAGGACGTTTCGACTACATCACCCATGCAAAATAAAAGTGGCACATTGATGGCATCTCCTCCTCCTAGATCCTCCCCTAGGCGTCAGTCTTCTGCTGGGAAACAGGTAGAATCCACCACTCTAAGATCCTCGCTCAGAACAGCATCACCAAGGAAACAAAATACACCTGTTGCTCAGATGACATCACAGTCAACTGGAGGACAGCAGAATTTGTCGGAGGAGGGATCTGCCACTTTGCAGTCCACACAAAGGAGAATACGTCGCAGTTCAGCCATGGCTACTTCACCTTCCAAAACAAGGAATCTGACGGGAACTCCTAGCAGGTGGCAAACTGAAGCTAGTTATGGTAGGTTTACATGTTAAATGTCTCTCACTTGTTGCATCATTATAGAAAGATCTGTAGACTAGTATTTTAATACATGTTTTGCAAATGATGATTTGTGGATATTTTTAGGAGGAGCAGAACATTCTGGATTGCATACAGAGAATATGTCTCTGGGACCAAACACCCAGAAGGATTTGAATGAAGAAAATGCTTTGTCCGCCAATGTTTCTTCAAGAGAAAGAAACAGATCAGAAGTTTCTGATGAGAATGAGGGCTTAATGGAGACACCAAGAAAAACCACCAGTCTAAATGAAGCACATCCATCTACAATGTTAACAAGAAGTAGACAGGAAGAAAGTTTGGTGAGGACACCAGATAAAAGCAGTAACCAGAATCTTCAAAACAGAACTCCAAACAGAAGTCTACGGTCGACAGACTTTCAGAGGGTCAAAATGTCAGCAAGTAAGAACATCAATCAATCTAGGACTGAAAGCCCATCTTACATTGAAAGTCCATCAAGAAAAAATACAACACTGAAACAACAGTCAGGTAGAAGGAGTCTGAGACCAACTGCATCTCCAGCGAAAAACATTACTGAGAGATCACCATTAGCCATGCAACAACCAATAAACAGTGCGAGCCTGATACATGATACACCTAGTAAGGAGACATTGATAACTCCCGTGTTTGAGCGTACAGCACTGGGACCAAGACATTCCAGTCCTGTATCAAGAACTCATCACATCTCAATGACTGGAGATGAAAACTTACCTGGTAAGCATTAAGCATTAAAAGCATAGTAGCACTATATGTACACACAGTTATAATGCTGTTGAGTAAGCTGATGTTTATTTACTTTTACAAAAAGAATTTGGTTCATGTATGAGTTTCTATGTTAAAAAGATAAAATTGTCATTTCAGATGTTTCCATGATTGAGAGTCAGGGAAGAACAGATTTTCAAGATGTAAGTAAAAAAAAAATTATTTTGGCTTTGCTCTATACAAAACATAACTGAACACTCGAGTGAAGAAACCAAGCTTTGCATTTTTTCTACATGACTGAATTTTAACTTAAATTCTGTTATTTAGGACTTTGACAGGACAGAGTTATTCCGACTTAAAACCCCTCACCTGGGCCCAGCCAGACCTCATGTCCCCACCCCATCTGACACCCCCGCCGACTCCCCCATCTCACAAACTCTGAAGAAAAAACCTCCAGTCAAGTAAGTGTCCCTTAATGATGAAACTGCTTTAATTAAAACAAGGTAATTGTGCAAAGATCACAAGAGACATATAGCTCATGTAGAAAAATCAGTTTTTAGCTCACCTGAGCCGAAGGCTCAAGTGAGCTTTTCTGATCACATTTTGTCCTGCGTCCGTCTGTCTGTCCATAAACTTTTCACATTTTCGACTTCTTCTCAAGAACTCTGGGCCAATTTCGACCAAACTTGCCACAAAGCATCCTTGGGTGAAGGGGATTCAAGTTTGTTCAAATAAAGGGCCATGCCCTTATTCAAGAGGAGATAATTGAGATTTAGTGAAAATTTGGTGGTATGTTTTAAAAATCTTCTTCTTAAGAAACACTGTGCCAGGAAAGTTGAAACTTATGGGGAAACATCCTCAGGTAGTGTAGATTCAAATTTGTTCAAATCATGTCCCCCGGGGGTAGGGCGGGGCCACAATGGCCGACCAAAGTTTTATATAGAAATGTATAGGAAAATTCTTTAAAAATCTTCTTCTCAAGAACAGCAGAGCCATAATTGCTCATATTTATATGGAAGCATCCCCAGGTAGTGTAGATTCAAGTTTGTTCAAATCATGACCCCCAGGGGTAGGGCGGGGCCACAATGGCCGACCAAAGTTTTATATAGAAATATATAGGAAAATTCTTTAAAAATCTTCTTCTTAAGAACAGCAAAGCCAGAATTGCTCATATTTATATGGAAGCATCCCCAGGTAGTGTAGATTCAGGTTTGTTCAAATCGTGACCCCCGGGGGGTAGGGCGGGGCCACAATGGCCGACCAAAGTTTTACATAGAAATATATAGGAAAGTTCTTTAAAAATCTTCTTCTCAAGAACAGCAAAGCCATAATTGCTCATATTTATATGGAAGCATCCCCAGGTAGTGTAGATTCAAGTTTCTTCAAATCATGACCCCCTGGAGAAGGGTGGGGCCACAATGGCCGACCAAAGTTTTATATAGAAATATGTAGGAAAATTCTTGGGAAAATCTTCTTCTTAAGAACAGCAAAGCCAGAATTGCTCATATTTATATGGAAGCATCCCCAGGTAATGTAGATTCAAGTTTGTTCAAATCGTGACCCCTGGGGGTAGGGCGGGGCCACAATGGCCGACCAAAGTTTTATATAGAAATATATAGGAAAATTCTTTAAAAGTCTTCTTCTCAAGAATAGCAAAGCCATAATTGCTCATATTTATATGGAAGCATCCTCAGGTAGTGTAGATTCAAGTTTGTTCAAATCATGACCCCCGGGGGTAGGGCGGGGCCAAACTTTTGGATTCAAACTTTTTAATAGTAAACCAATTACTACTTTTTCCTAGCCACAATGCTCGGGTGAGCGATGTGGCCCATGGGCCTCTTGTAATAATTAAAGCATGATCATCATGGTATAATCTATTGACAACTGACTTCTCTGTTCGTTGTTACCTACTGAAGGTCACAAACTCTGAAGAAACCAAGAGTGAAGGTTCAGTCCAGTACTCTCCCAGCATCTACCATTAAACAGACTTTCAGTCATTTTTGCAAGATGAGGGTGGATAAAGACACACTGCCTGAGCTTGTTAAAATGTATGGAAACCATTTTGTTTTTTAATGAAAAATTTTAACATTTCATAAACTTTCCGTAAAATAAAACTATTGATCATTGATGAAATTCACATTTACCTCTAAATGAATAGTCAACACTTGACTTGTGAACTTGAATTCAATGGGACTGAAAAAAATTAATTATACTGAGGAATGCAAAAGGTAAAAATTTCTAGATATCCATCATATTTGGGATATCTGTGTTTGAGATTTCAAAGTTCAATTTAATATTATTTGTTCTTGATTTTCAATGCTCTTGTTCTTCTTTTTCGTGTAGGGTCCAAAAGAATACAAAATTCAAGATGAAGGAAAATTGATGAATTACACTAAAGAAAAGATTTTTTTTAATTTTCAGAACTGAAGAATATTTTGATCAAGTTGCCCATGATCTGGAAGCATTTGCTCATCATGCAGGAAGAAGAACCATTGATGAGAGAGATGTTGAACTACTTCTTAAAAGGTTTGTACTTCAGAGTTTACTTTTTTGCAGCATATGTAAAATGATTCTATATGCATAGCTTTAAGCATTCTAAAAACAAGTTTCTCAATATATTGAGAAGAATTTCATAGATTACTGTAAATCACTTTTTATTCGCGAGAACTTTATTTTCGCGTAATTACGCGAGACTGTAAGCTCGCGAAAATTTGATTCTCGCATATAATAGTATTCCTTAAGATGATATAGAGCAATAACCACAATTCGTGAAAATTTTGTCTCGCTAATCAAGATTCAATTACTATCTCGCGAAAATAAGGTGTCGCGAAAATTAAGTGATCTACAGTATACAAGTGCTCTGAAAGATTCCAATTTATTCCTGTATGAAATAATATAAATTCAAATCTCTAGTTGAACTTGATGCATAATATTAAAGTCTTTTCTTTGCTTAATAAATCTCCATATCTTTGATAATGTATTTCAAAGGGCATTTCAAGTTCTTTAAATAGTGAAAATTGTAATTTACAAAGCAATTGTTTTTTTTTCCTTTTTTGAATTTTAGGCAGAAGTTTATCACCAAGACCACATCACTGACCCACCTTGTAGAAAAATACCTTCCTCTAGAGCTCCGCCAGGAAATTATACCAATAGCTCGATCAGGAAATAAAATATTCCCACAGCGATGATGGACATTTTTGTTGAACTTTCTAGAAAATTGTTATTTTTATCATACATGTGAATAAATGCTTGGATGCTATAATTTCTTTGAGTGCATTAAAATTTAAATTCCTTCTTAGAAACTACTTTCAATATACTTTGTGTAAAGAAAAATATAGTAAATCTAGATTAAACTAGGACCACTGTGAGCACTGCGCTCACTAAATGATAACCCTGCCTCCCATATGATTATTATGGCAAGGTTCATGTTTTGCCCTGGGAGCTAATGCCATTGTGCATTACTACTATTTTACAATAATTTTGGGTCTACCAGGGCAGTTATAAAAGGAGGCAGGGGTATCATTTAGTGAGCTCAAAGCGCACAGTACCTCTAGTTTCCTTATGAAAGTGGATAGAATGGTGCATCAGTAGCAGTAATTTACTAAGAGGATTTGTTGTAATTGCTGAATTTAATATTTTTCTCAGGAAATATCGAACCATAGACATTGTTAGTTCACCTGAGCTGAAAGCTCAAGTGAGCTTTTCTGATCACCAATTTTCCATTTGTCCATCTGTCTGTAACCTTTTTGCATTTT